ATGCAAAGAAGTGGAATCATAAAATGGTAATCTGTGGCTTTTGGCCTTGAGACATGAAGAACAAAGAGCATTACTTTCATTAGCATTATAGGAAATTTGACAAGAATTCAAAGCTTTCTTTACAGTGTCCAAAGCAGCATGACCTAGTCTAGAATGCCAAGTATTTAAATCAAGTTTGCTTGAGGTAACAGCAGAACAAACTGTGGGACAAAAAGAGGAATTTAAGCTCTTATTTGTAGGTTCAAAAGGCTGCAAGAGATCACCATTGAGAGTTGACAAATTAAAAAAGTATAAGCCATCTTTAACCGTCCCTTGGAGTAGAGTTGCTCCTATTTCTTGATCCTTCACAAGGCAAAAATTTGGATGAAATTCAAAATAGACATTATTGTCCTTTGAAAATTGGCAAACACTTATAAGGTTTTTTGCAATTTGAGGAACATAAAGGAGATTTTTAAGAAGCAGATGTCTTTTATCAGAGGAGCAAGATTGAATCATAGAACTACCAATGTGTGATATGGCCAAACCTGATCTATTGCCCATGTGGACTTTCTCTCCTCCAGTATATTCTGAAGCCATGCTCAAATTTTCCATGTCATAGGTGAGGTGGTTGGTGGCACCTGAATCTGGAAACCAAAAAGTGTCTTGGGTTTGATCAAATGATGGCATGCTGGCTACATTGGCTGATTTGTTTTGACAAGTGTAGGCAGACTGTCCCTGTGATGCAGCATAGGTGTTCCCTAGGTTGTAGTTGCTTCTGTTTTCAGGGACAAAATTCATGTCCATCCTATACCAGCATTTGTCTGCAGTGTGGTTCACCAGGTGACATATTTGACATCTTGGTTTAGTGTTGAATCTGCCACCTCTACCCCTATAGGGTCCTGATCTTCCATATCCACCTCTCCCACCTCTTGCACTGGGATTGTTGTTGCTGCTCCTTCCTCTGAAGTTGTTAAAGCTACCTCTCTTTTCACCTTGGTTTGTTGTGGTGAAGTTGACCATGGGGCTAGAGCCATCTAATCCCAGCTGAGGTACCTCAAAGGTTTCAAGTCTACTTTCAAAACTCAGGAGCAAGGCATGAAGCTCTCTCAACTTGCAAGGTTCTATTCTAGCTCCAATAGAGACCATAACAGGATTGTATTCACTTCCCAATCTAGCCAGTATATGTGTGATTTGCTCCTCTTCAGATAGCTTTTGTCCTGCAGCAGCTAGGCCATCACAACAAGCCTTCATCTTGTTTAGTTACTCCATCATACTCATGCCTCCTTTTATGAGGTTTTGGAGCTGCAGTTTGTATTGCATGACCTTTGCTCTTGACTGGCTGGCAAAGGATGTCACTAGACTGTCCCAAATCTCAAAGGCAGACTCCAAACCAACAGTGGTAATTAGGATACTCTCAGAAAGGGAAGATAACAACCAGAAGACAATGAGCTGATCTTCTCTAGTCCATATTGAGTGAGCAGGGTTAGGGATTTCATTACCATTGTTGTCTGTAATGCTTGTTGGAGGTGGCTCTGCTCCTGAGATGTGATTTTCCAGACCATATCCTTTGATAGCTGCTTGTATATGTTGTCTCCAAACCAAGAAATTATTTTCTGTGAGCTTGACTGTAACCACTTGTGCTTGTAGTTGTGTGATTGGAGATTCAGGTGTTGCCATGTCTATAGGTCGAGAGTGAGCAGAGGTAAGAAAATAGTGGATGGAGGAGATGGATCAGAGGCCACAGGTTTTAACCTGCAGCTCTGATACCATGAAAGCATTTTGGAAATAAATCATACATTATCAAAGTGAAGACTATCATATGAAATTTTTCAGATCTTGTTCTTTCATGAAATTATTTGGTACACGACGGCTGCAACTTCCAAGGGAGCATTCTCTCCTTTAAATAATACTAGGTTAAGGGAACCAACTAGGTAAGGGACACATGACATGCTATAATAGGTTCTACTAGAAAACAAAAGACATTAATAAAAGATATGAGCTAAAGTTGTGGTGGTCCCGTTTTTGCATGCATGGACTCTTGTTTAGTCTTGCATGGTGCCACGTTAATATCTACATGACTAACAAATACACGAGTGTTATACTAGTTGGATATATAAATGAGGTAATGATACCCTTAAAACACCAAACAGGATTTTAGAATTTTCCTATGTTATATTAGTCCAGAAAAGTCTCGACTTAATATTTTATTTTGCGGTTATTTTTTCTTTAAAAAAAATGGTTGTAGTTTTTTTTTTCAATTTTATATGAATTTGCTTGAACTGGGTAAATTGCACCAAACTTCCCTGTAATATACTAAAACGGCGCGTTTTCTCCTCGTAATTTAAAAATTGCGTCAAACCCCCTTCTATTGTATATCTGCGTGCATACTCGCCCTTTGATGTTAACACCGTTACTTTACTACTGACGGTGTTACTTTTTGTCGAATTTATCATTATACCCTTACTTTATCGCTGAATTTATCATTATGGCATTATACCCTTATTTTAGAAAATAAGGGTAGACTAAGTAGCGAAATTTTCATTCACTTAATTAAGTCGTGTTATCCCCTGTAGTTACCATCTTCCGGTAGCCTCTAATTGATTAAACACATCAACAATTACGGATTGACAGTTTGAATCTAGCAGTAGATATGAAAAGCCTAGTCTAGGCGATCAAGCTAAACAAAACTAAACAAATCAGAGTTACTTATTCAAAATAACACAAACAATCCCAAAAGATATTGAAATTATCAACCAAGAGAATTAATCAAACATTCGTCGAGTCTTAGGGTTCAACTTCCCCGGAACTAGAATAAAAGAACTACCACTACACATAGTGTTCAATAACATAATCATAAATTTAATTACACAAGAAAGAAAATAAAGAAAAGAATCTTCTCTAATTTCCAAAGCTTCTCGTTGTGTTCGTGTGCTTTCTGCCTTCTTCCTCTCTTTTTCAAGCCTCTGTTCAAGTCTTCCATATACTTCCGTTTTTCCTTCCCAGCCGCCACGCGTGTGTAGCTCTTGGACCCCTAATCCCTCTCTTTTNNNNTTTTTTTTTTTTTTTATTTACGTCACTTGCTCTTGGAGAATAAGTGGACCTTCTTTCTTTAAGTCCTCAGCCCAGATATAGGTCCACTTAGTCCATTCTTCAACTTAAATAAATTCATCCCCAAATTAATTAATTGCAGCAGGAGTACTGGGGGCTGGAACGAAGTACTGGGTACCCCAGTACTACATTAAAATTTGTCGAGCTCACGTCTTGCATTAATATCGTCACTTGCTAAGAATAATCCCAAAACTCTGAAAACACTCAAGAAACTCATCATGACACCACAATCGATCAAAATATTAAATAAGTCAAAAATCATATAAATGCGAGTAAATAAACGTGCACTATTACAAAATTAAACGATTAAAGTGAGCACGTTTTTCGACTTATCAGAGATGTATTTCTGGATAGAGGAACTTCGATTTTCTTATGTGTTGGTGAGTCAAATGGCCCATATTTTTTCAAAGTTAATATATATCTCAAGTATGAATAGTAATTGGATGCGCGATTGACATTTATGATTAATGCATAAGATACTAAATTAACAAGTAATGTATATTTTTAAAATGTGATGTCTTTGAATACGGTAGTACGTTTTATTAATTGAGAAATGTTGTAGGTACATGATATTGTACATATAGGTGTATATGACACTCACATTTAGTGAGACCTATCAAAAAAATTAAGTGGATCTCACTCCATGTGACTGTTTTGTACACCTCTATGTATATTTATTATCGTTTTGTAGCATTTGTCTTTCTAATTTTACTTTAGTTAAAAGGTCATAGAAAAGATTCGGTGAAAACTGATTAGTATAATTCTGCGTTATTTTCTTGGTCGTTGGTACTTTTATTATCTGCACCATTGAAAAATGAAATTTAAGGTCAAATTTAGGATAGAAATTTCCAAGTGATGAACATATTAACCTACTCTTGACGTAAATCCAAAAATCCATATTCATTGAGGATACTTTATAGTAGAATAATAGCTGTTCGAATACCTATAATCACTATATATAAAATAAATAAAGAAATATGGAAAATCTAAATTTTTTGTGATAATTGAAAAGTTTCCTCATGGTCGGGTTGTGGTCGTTGTTCGACTGCTTCCTTATGCCGCTTAGCGCCCGGTCGGGAATTTTTTGCCAGATATAGACTGGGAATACCTTTCACGCAAGATCAGTCTAGGCGGTTCAAATTTGATCGCCTTTTTGAGTTTGGAGTCTCAGTTTGCAGCTCCGATGAGATTTTGTGCAGCGGGATGTGGCTTGTGCGTCAGTTTGGATGATAGTGCGGATTGTCCGCTAGGTTTAAGAGAGATTTTATTGTATTTGTTTATTAGGTGCAAGTTTTTATTTTTGCAGTTCTTGTTTTGCTTGGTACAGTAGCATTACTCCAGTCACCTTTATGAAGTTTATATTTTGCGTCTTATGGAGTTTTTACCCCCTTGGTCACTAGTGTGATTTAGAGAGTTGGTCCAGACTTTGTTATGATTTCACTAGTATTTGTTGGCACATCGATTGTACTTTTTTAGTTTTCAAGTTATTAATACAATTGCCCTTTGTGAAAAAAAAAAAAAAAAAAAAAA